AACGGCAACGGCAACGGCAATGGAAACACTGGCACCACCAATGGCAACAACAATGCCAATGGCAACATCGGAAGCGGTAGCGCCAACGGCAACGGCAACGGCAACTCGGGCTACACCAATGGCAACGACAATGCCAACGGCAACATCGGCAAGCAGAATGCCAACGGAAACGGAAACGGCAACTACGGCTCCTACAGCGGCAACAGCAACGGCAATGGCAACTGGGGCAAGCTAAACGGCAATGCCAATGGCAACGGCAACACTGGTACTGCCAACGGCAATCTCAATGGCAATGACAATGCGGGCTACGCCAACGGCAACAACAACGGCAACGGCAACAGTGGCAGCCTGTCCGGTAACAGTAACGGCAACGGAAACACCGGTGTCGGCAGTGGCAACAACAACGGCAACGGCAACAGCGGCTCGACGACCAGCCTCAACGGCAATGGCAACGGCAACAACAACCTTGGCAGCGGCGTTGGCAACAACAACGGCAACGCCAACAGCGGATCGTCTGGTAACGGCAACAACAATGGAAACAGCAACGCGGTCATCGGCCAGGGCAACACCACCGGCTCGGGCAACGGCAATGGCAACTCGGGCACCGGAGGTGGTAGTGGCAATGGCAATGGCAACGGCAACGCCGTCATTGGCAGTGGCAACACGGTTGGCTCCAACAACGGCAACGACAACTCTAGCAATGGCGCTTCTGGTAACGGCAGCGGCAACGGCAACGTTGTTATTGGCAACGGCAACACCGCCGGATCGAACAACGGCAACAGCAACACTGGCGGTGGCAACGGCAGCGGTAACGGCAACGTCATTGTCGGAAACGGCTCCAGCGTCGGCAGCAACACGTCGGGCAATGGTCAGGGCAACGGCAACATTGTGCTCGGCAACACCGGCCACAGCCTCGGCGACGGCAGCTCTAACGGCCAGATCTACTGGAGGCGCAGCTAATCCCAATGCAAAGATCAAAGTCAAAATCCGCCTCGAGCCCGGTTCAGAGGAAGACGAGATGGTGCGGGCCGATACGCAATCCGAGCCCCTCCTCGTTCCCACAACCTCTGTCTCGGCACACACCGACTTTTCGTGTAGATACTTCCTCCTTGTCGTTCGTTCCTGGCATTTCGAGTCACGGGCATGTGTGATCTACCTAAAGCATCTCGCAAGTCGCGCACTTTGTGAAGTTTGACAGATGCAATCCACAGTCTTTACGTTTCTGCTGGTGATGGCAAATTGAATTGAAGCGCCTCTAGATGTTCCATTCCCTCTGAATGGCCTGAATGACGGCCTGTTCTACGTTGTCGACGAGGATGGTGGGAGTGTAGTTGGGTGGACCGTTGTGGTCCTTGTAGACGCCCGTGCGCACGAGTGCAGAGGACCAGCCATAATCGACGGCGCCTCGGATGTCGCTCTCGGTGTTGTCGCCGACCATCCAGACCGAGGGCCCGACGAGCTTGGCGGCCTCGGCAGTGGCGGACGATGCGGGTGCCATGCTGATCAGATGTTGGCGCAGCAGCTCGTTGGCATAGTCGTAGGTGATGCGATAGGGCTTACCGAAGACGGTCGATTCCATCTCGCGTCCAGTCGTGTGCTGTGGGCTCGCGTGTGCTGTCAGTACCTGGATTCCGCGAGGGGCTGCGCAACGACGTCCGGCTTACCTTGTAGACATTCTCGATGGCGAGGCGGAAGGCACCTTGGCCGAAGCGGACAACGCTGTGGTCATTGCCCCATACTATGGAGAGTCCGAACGCCGGAGATGCGGTCAGACAAGGGAAGAGCAGAGAAAATGTGGCTGATTGTGTAGAAGACTTACGCAAGTCGCTGTGGGAAAAGTAAATGGGGATTTGCTTTTCGGGGAGCGGCTCCGAAGGTGGGTGCTCTGTGCCGAAGACGCCGTTGTGGGATCTGAGGATGTCGATGATGATCTGGGTATCCCTGCCCCACTCTCTGCTGTCGTGGAAGACGAGGATGGCGGCGAACTGGACCTTGGAGAAGGCGTCTCTCTGTGTGATCATGCGTCAGGGCTGAGTGTCAGTGACTGTCTCGATGCGGATGAGGGCAAGCGAGGTGTCGAAGCTTACTCGAATATAGGGAAGCTGGTCCGGGTGGACTGTGGAGAAGGGCCAGGCGGCGGGAGCGTGTGCGTGGAGGTCGAGGGTGGTGTAGACGTTGTTGAAGCCGTAGCTGCGCATGACGTCTCTGGCGGCGTTGGGGGGCGTTTCCGGACCGCCGACCATGAGGATGGGTTTGTCGGCGTAGAGGGGGACGAGCGACTTCATGACGGTGTGCGCCTGGATGACCTGTTCCGGAGTGACTGGCACCTCGAGCTCTCTAGCAAGGTCGGTGGCGCGAGCCGACTCGTGCTTGCCGCCGCCATTGGTGATGAAGATGTAGGGGATCTTTTGGTTGCGTGGATTGTTTCCCTCAAGGATTTGGAGGGCGCGCTTCGCTTCTGGAAGGACGTTGGGACCTGCCTTGAGCACGCCGTCGATGTCAAAGGCAAACGCGAGCGGCTTCTGAAGGTCATTGGTGCTCGTACGAGTTGGTGACGAATTGGAGAGGGAGCGCACGCTCTGCCTGGCCGCAGCAGCCGATGTCCGCGATGGGACGGAGCGCAATGCTCCTCTCAAGCTCAACCTGAGCATTTTGGGATATTCGGCGGTAATGTTGATGGTTCTGATGATAAGCGCGGGATCTTCGAGAATCGGAAGGTTGGGGCGTACCAAAAGCGCTCCTCCGCATAATCGGCCCGAGCAACCGTGCGCGAAAATTCACCAAAGTGTTAGAGCTGGAATAATGACGATCAAGATCCGCATCTGGATCGGGCGCACGATCCTTTCACAGGCGGCGAGCCCGAAATAGCGACGGGATGCTCCGACGCGCCTCCACCGGGGCACCGCAGATTCGCATTCGGCACTTTCCAGGCCGGCGCTTCCGAGAGCCACTCACTCGCCTTTCCCCAAACTTCCGGAGGTGGGACGGCTGCATCCTCCCTTCTCCCTCTTCCTTCTCCACCCATCCATACTACGGCTCCACCCTCCACCCTCCAGCATCACATCACATCTTGCATGCTGAAGCCAGCCGCATCGTCGCTGCTCTGTCGACTCGCTCCTTGCTCTAGGCGTGCTCTGCTTTCCACTTCGCCCTGGCCTCATCAGCCCCGTCGCTTCCATACACAGCTCCCCCTTCTTGCTCCATCTGGCTTCGTCAACATGCCGCCTACCAAATCATCCAAGACCGGCAAGGCTTCGAAAGCCGCCAAGGCTATCCTTCATCCAAAGTCGACGCTCGCCGCGGTCAGGGCCAATCACAGCCGTGGTTCGAGCATCGACGAGGATCGGCCGCAGCAGAGCCCTGCGTCCTCCATCAGGAAGACGCCGTCCAACGCCAGCATGGCCTCCAGCTCCACCAAGCCGCTGTCTCGCGCTGCTTCAGTCAATGCGAGTCCTGCGGCCGCCACGACGAGCCTTCCGACTGCCGCAGCACCCGCCCCATCCGTGCTGGCTCCTCCCATCGGAACGGACATTCTGAGCACGAAGAAGCAGGCGATCGCGCGCGCAGAACCAGTCCAGCAGCCTGCTACTAATACTGCTTCTGCTGCTGCGGCCCCTCCGGCTTCTGTTGCTGCGGCTCGTGAGGCTCCTGCAGCTTCATCTGGCGCGGCTCACACGCTCGACGTCCCTTATACCATCGATGAGGTGCCCACCACAAAGACTGTATCCGCTCAAGACGCCAAGGAAGATGTCAAGCCAACTCTGCCGCAGAACGGAGCAACTGGCCAGTCCGAGGAGCCTGCGTCTAATGACAAATTCGCCAAGGAAGTTGCCGCCGTCATCGCCGGCTCGGATCCGGCTCCGGACCAAGAACCGTCAGCAGCTGCCGTCGCTACACCCACCCCGCTCACCCTTCCCATCGTCGCCAAGAGTGCTGGCGCAACCAGCCAGGTCGTGTCGGCCTCGAGCGATGCGACACCCATCGTAGCCTCGAGCGAGCTTGCCAATGCACCAGCATACACGCCGCCTGAGCTGACGCGGCTGCAGCACAATACGTTTGTCTCTCGGCCCACCGATGCCTCGCGTGTCGCTGCGCGTGCTCTGGACGCATCCGCGCTGCCGGCCCCGCTGCGGCCTGTTGGTGGCCGAAAGACGCTCGCGCGGACTCCGAGCCACGTGGTCATCTTTGGCTGGATGGACGCGCCCGTTCGACTCGTTGCCAAGTACGCGCAGCCCTACACCGCGCTCTTCCCCGACGCCACCGTGCTGATCCAGCTATCGGACGGCAAGAGCTATCTTGCGCGCGAAAACGTACGTCGCACGCAGCTGCAGCGTATCATCAGCGAGATCACGTCGGCATCGTCAGACGTCGAGACGGAGCCGTTCGAGGTGGTCAAAACCACGGACGTGGGCGAATCGACCATCACGCTGATCGATGCCAAGGAGGCGAGGTCGTCGGCGTCGTCGGACGGTGACGGCGAGGAGCCCGCGCGCGTGGGCGGGTTTGTGATTCACAGCTTCTCGGACGGTGGTGCGGGCAACCTCGCACTGTTTCTGGACGAGATGGCGCGGCGCAAGACGGCGGCGCCGCGCGTTCACTCGCTCATCATGGACTCGAGTCCGGGCAAGTCGAATCCCAAGTCGGGCTCTTTTGCGTTTACAATGCATCTGGCGAACCGGCCGCGCGTGCGTGCGATCGTGCGGCTGCTCGTGTACATCGGCCTGTACATGCTCAAGATCTGGACCAAGATCACGGGCCAGCTCGGCCGCGGTGAGCTCATGCGCAAACGGCTCAACTCGCTCCGCAGCTGGAGCTGGATCACTGCCGCCCACTCGTCCAATGCCGCCACGGCCGAAAAGAGCGAGTATCCGCCGCGCATGTACATGTACACCAAGGCGGACCGTCTCATTCCGTGGCAGTTTGTCGAGGAGCATGCACACCACCTCGGTCAGATTCGAGGTACGAAACCGGGCGTTGTGCAGATGGAGAACGAGGCCGAGAGGGCCAAGCTGCTCAAGGCGGTCGAATCGGGCGCAGGCGATGCGCGCGATGCGCCCGAGTACCGCGTCGAGCTCAGGAGGTGGGACACTCCACCACACTGCAGCAATGGCCGCGCCGATTTCGTCGGCTACTGGTCCGCCGTGCTCGACTTCTACTCGAACGTGCTCAGCCGGCCCTAGCACACCTAGATCGCCAAGATCTCTTCGTAGGCAATCAAATACGTAAATGCAAATGCAAGCGAGACAGCACAAAGTAGTGGGGGGGATATAACTAGATCTTGCCGCCGATGCGACCACCTACCGCGTACCACTTGGCGGCGGCGATGCTGATGGTGCCAAGTACGACCATGGCGCCCGAGTAGGCAGCGGTGGCCCACCAATCTGCATTTTCGACGTCGCCGAGGATGGCGCCTGCGATGGGGAGGCCAAACAGACCGCCGAAGGACATGAGGAAGAACATCATGCCGTTTCTTGCGCCGACGGTGGCGGTGCTGCCGAGCTGCGAGGAACACGCGGGGATGAGTGAGACGTAGCAGCCCGAGGTGAAGCCGTAGAGGATGGCAAAGGTGATCAGGCCGCCGAGGTTGGTGCAGAGCGGGAAGATGAAGATCAAGATGCCCGATACGGCCAGATGCGGCAGGACCGTGTTGATGCGACCGACCCTGTCGGCGACGAGGCCGGGAAGCACCCGACCGAATGAGGAGGCGGCGTTGAGGATGGGGAGGAAATAGCCGTTGGCGGGGATGTTATGCGAGGAAGTCCATACGTCCATGTAGGAGAAGGGCATGTAGAGGCCAAACATGATTGAGCTGGCGCCGATGACAAAGAAGGTGTACGCAGGGTTGCGGAAGGCAGAAAAGTCGGTCCACTGGATCTGCTTCCATCCGCCCTTTGACTTGTCGTGCACGTCGATCGAGGGGGGCAGACGGGTGGAGAGGGAGAACCAGGCTATTGTGACGGCGAAGAGGGCAAAGAAGCCGACGATGCGCATGGTCCATCCATAACCGATCTGAGGGATGAGCTTGCGCACCATGATGGGGAAGATGATGCCGCCCGTGGAGGAACCGGAAGCGACTACACCGAGGGCGACGCCACGGCGACGGTTGAAGTAGTGTGCTGGGCAGTTGATGGCGAGGTTGAATACGAGGCCAAAACCAAGACCAAGTCCGACGCCCTGCGCGAGGAAGAGCTGGTAGTAGTCTGTGCACAGGCTGACCATCATCTGAGAGAAGACGAGGAGGGCGCATCCGGTAGCAAAGAGGGGGCGGAAGAAGCCGAGATCAAAGAGCCTGCCGGCGAAGATGGCGGGTGCAAACATGAGAAAGTACTGGAACGCGCCGATCCAGGAGATCTGGCTGGGCGACTTGTGGGAGAGGGTGGTCTGCTGGTAGTAGTCCTGGAAGATGCCGTAGGCGTTGAGGTAGCCAAAGGTGATGAAGGTGCACCACCATCCGCCGAACACGCAGAGCCAAGCCTTGAAGCCGCCTTCGGGGAAAGAGATGTTGGCGTCGCCAGCCTGCGCTTTGGCAACTGCGTCGCCGAGGTCGTGTTCAGTTTTGAGCGACATGGCCGCCTGGGACGCGGTGGCCTCGATGTCGGTGTCGTCATCTGGATGCGCCGACTTTTCGTTGTACATGGGCGTGGCTACTGCGGTGTCGGGTGCTGGTGTGGGTGCGATATCTTGGGAAGCCGAGTCCGATGTGCTTGTTGTTGTGGAGCCGAGCGGCTGTGTGGCGGCGTTGCCCGGCATGATGAAGCGTTGCGTTTGCGAGGCTGGAACGGCGTTGTACAGTAAAAGTTCAGCGGCGTTAGAGGTCGTAAGCTGCTAGCTCGTATGCGCCTATGCTTTCTTGTGCAGATGATGATGTGCCGAAGGCTGGCTAGGATCGTTGCGACATTCGGAACGGGAGCGGCGGGCAGATGGATGTGGCGGAGAGGCGCGAGCAAGAGTTGATGGATAGGATCAAGGTGAGGGCGCGTGAGGTTCGCGTTGAGCCTAGTCTAACTTGGTGCAGGTTGGTGTGGTGCAAGTTCTGGTGTCGACGCAGGGAGCTGCAGGGGAGGCACATGGGGTGGGGGCCCACCACTACTGCAGCGGGGTACGACTGCTGTAAGAGGCGAGCCGGGCTAGGCTAGGCGAGAGGGCTAGAGGATGGATCGGGTGGGCGTACGGCAAACTCGGCACGTCGGTGTGGCGAGGTGTGGAAGCTCATCCGGGCTGCCGTGCATCCCTTCACTTGGGCCCGGCTTTGAAACTCAATTCTCCAACCCTGTTTAGCCGACTTAATCCCCGACGCTCGCCTCGTGCCCGCCTCGTGCCCGCCTCTTTCGCGCCGCGGCAATGGAAAAACGTTTATTACGCCCGCTCGACCCTCGAGCCCCACTTGCCGCCAGCCCTCTTGCCGCCATTCGAGTGGCGCATTACGGCATGGCGATGACAGACATGTCTTGTCTCGATAGCGCACCCACATAGTGGCGTCAAATGGCGGCTCCCCTTCTGCGTGTGTGCGTGTGTGTGTGTGTG